CATGCTGGGAAGTGACAAGCAGAGACAGAGCCAAGAAGTAGGATGGATTTGGCACAGTCTCCCACTTGATATGGGCCAAGCTTTACCTAGGTGTTGATTTTATTTGAGGTGGCCTTGAAAACACTTGATTCTGTTCTCAAAGTGTCTAAATGAGAAAGGGCACAGTAAGTAGACAAGGGAGAATGAGCAATTCTATGAGGATAAGCCAGGGCCCCTCCCACATGCATCTTTGATTACCAGTGTAAAGAGCTCTTTGAGACAGTGGCTGACAAGAAGGACACAGGTTGTCATGTCAACATTTGTGGTATCTTTACATGTATTTACTGCAGGCTTTTGTTGTATCATGGTGTTTTATCCACGGAACAAATTAGTAAGCGTGTGCATGTCCAAAAACAGCCCTGGTGGGTTGACAATATGTTCCAAAGCATAGCCTGGGCTCTCTGCCTTCTCTCTTCTCAGCCAGAAGTGGAAAGCCTAGCCACTGTTGGCTTCATCTATGAACAAAGACAAGGAGGAAGGGACACTCAAGACATTCTTACGCATTCTAGGAAGGTTGATCTTACCACATGGAGATGGCTCTAGGGATAATAAGAGTCTACCACTTCCTTATAGATGTAGACAAAAATAAAATTACAGAACAGAGATAGGAAGTAGCCATTGGGCCTAATTTGGACTGTAGTCTTTGTTTGACCACACAGTGTTGTCCTGCACTGTATTTGAAATTTAAATTAGTTATACATTTTTTGAACACTCAGGAAAAATGGCTTTTATTATTTTTAAATTTATTTAATAACCACATAATTAGTAGAAGCATTTCATTACAACAGCACTGACATAGTCAATGACAGTTTCCAGAGCAAAGATGCATCTCTTTCAAAATTGGCTGTAATTTTTAGGTTCACAGTGTTGAACTGATATAGTTATACATTATTGTACTCAGTATAAACCCCATAAGACATAAAATTGAATGAAGTTTTTACCTTTAAAAAAGACCCCCATTTCATTTTGAAATATACTGTTTCATACAGAAAAACTCATTTTAATGCAGCTAACACTTAGATGTTTGTACATGTGTCTCTAATCTCTATATATCTGATTATTACTAGTCATAGTCGGTTACTTTCTGAGATCCTTGGCACCTAAGCATGGATATAAATTCATCAGGTAGATTTCAATGGTAATGTTTTTCATGTCTACTAATTAACATGAAGCAAAATTTTAGTTAATATTTCTAAGAATTAGAATGGTTTACACTGAAAACTAGAGAGCCATCTAACATACAGCATCTACAAACCCAGATTATCTTACACTAGCAAGCCAGTAATGAACTAAAGCTAAGCAGGGATGCCCTGCTAAGAAGTCCAGTATTTACCTTCTTCCAGTGATCCCTGCTCCTGAGACTGTATGCCCCTCACCACTGGTTATCTTAACATAGCTCGTTTTACTCTTATTGACTATTTGTCTTCTGCCTTAGGTATGTGAGTTTGTAAGATAAGTTGTTACAGTCCTTTTATTCTGTAGAAAGGTATTTAGGCCTTGTTATAGGTAATCAGAAGTATTGGTAATTCAACAGTGGGAACTGAGGTTTGATTATTAGGAGTTTGCTTGTTTGCCTTGGGCTTATCTAGTTTCCGGAGAACATCAGACAAATCCTTATCTTAAGATGGGTGCAGCAGGCAACACAGAAAAGAAGACTGTATCCCAGGTAGGTGGCGTCAGAAACACTTCAGAGGTAGAATTGTCCTATCTTACAAGCTGACTGGGGTTCATGACATTTGGAAGAAAGCAGATGATAGGATGGAGAAAAATTTAATTGGCCTTAGACATCATTGGATTATGGTTGACAAAGTGAAGAGGCTTTATTGAAATATGGACATTCAGGAAGTAGGAATTTACAGTACAAAATGAATTCATTTTCCACTGGAATATGGTTCTTTATTAAACAGGTGTTCTAGTTTGTTTCTCCATTGCTGTGACAAAATACTCTGACCAATATCAATTTGGGGAGGAAAGGGTTTATTTAGCTTACATCTCCCAGGTCACAGTTCATCAGGGAGCCCAAGGTAGGAACTCAGGGCAGGAACCTGGAGGCAGGAGCTGAAGCACGGGCCATGGAGGAACGCTGCTTACCGGCTTGCTTCTCTGGCTCATGCTCAACCTGCTGTCTTACACAACACAGGGCCACCTTCCCAGAGCTGGCCCCTCCCACATCATTCAATAATCAAGAAGATGCCCCACAGACGTGACCACAGGCCAGTTAAATGTAGACAATTCACCAATTGAGGCTCTTTCTACCCAGGTGTGTCAAGTTGACAACTAAAGCTGTCCAGCACAACAGGTATAATGTTTATAAATAGTGTGTATATAGAGCCAGGAAAATGGCTCAGTGGGTTAAAAGTGCTTGAAGTGGGGCTGCAGAAATGGCTCAATGGTTAAAAGCAGTGACTACTCTTGCAGAGGACCCAGGTTTGATTTCCAGCACATACCTGGCAGCTAACAGCCATCCTTAAGTTCAATTCCAGGGGCTCTGACATCCTCTTCTAGCCTCTGTGGGATTGCATGACACAGGTGCACTTACATACACTCAGGCAAAACACTTGTACACATAAAATAAAAATAAAGAAACAAAAAAGAATGTAAGTGATTGCATAAACCTGACAACCTGTGTTCAGTCCATGCTACTACTCATGTAAAAAGCTGGATGCTGTGCCAAACATATCATATAATTCCAGCACTCCTAGGGAGAGATGAGAGATAGAGACAGGAGAATCAGATGGAAGGTCACTAACCAACTAGCCTGGAGTACATAGCACAGAAACAGAGCAGCAAACACTGAGACACCCTCCCTCAATAAGATGGAAGGCAAGAACTGAATTTCCCAAAGCTGTCCTCTGGCTTCTCCATGCATGCTGTACCCACACTCACACATAAACAAAGAAACAAATAAATAAAATCAATAATACGTAAAATAACTTGCTTTGTAGATGTAAGATCGTCCCTAGAAAGAAGACTCTCTTGGAATAGGAAATCTCCATTTCCTTCAATGTAATAGTCTCCATGCTCAGACAGAACCACATGCACAGTGTGTAAACAAAAGACAATTATCAGATCAATTAATTTATCATCACTTGAAACTAAACAGTAATAATCTGCCCTTATTTTAAAAGTCATCAGTTGAAGGTAAATATTTAACTATTCTTATTTTAAAGTGAGTTTTTGCTTAGTTAAACCATTGACCTTTATTTATTACTGATACTTACCAGTCCCTCTGCTATTGCCTATGACACCTATATGTGCATGTGCCCACACAGAGATTGAATTCATAGAAAGATGTAACTATGCATATTGTTTGATTTTTGTTTGGTTAGTTTTTAGTTGTTGGTGATGTGTGTGTGTGTGTGTGTGTGTGTGTGTGTGTGTGGTGTGTTGTTGTTACTGGTCAACTATTGAGATCTTCAGAGGATTTTACAAATAATCATGCTAGTTTTATGTAAGTAGTATGGGAATCCATTATTGTTGTAAAGATACTAAATGTTATGAAGACTATTACAAAGTTCCACATCTGATAAAAATATAGACAATAAGTGAGCCTGTGTTGCTTAGCTTCCGTTGATAACTCCTACGACTTAAGGAATATCATAGAAGAGGGGGCAGAAATAGTGTAGGAGTCAGAGGAACAGGATGGCTGTTGCTGGATAATGCATTCTAGACATGATAGGAAAGGTGCACCCATGAAATTTCCACAGTATGGTGGCCTAATAAGACCTCATAGTGACAACAATGGATGTGCCAATATGGATAGGAGAACTTTCACAGGATCCCATCTCTACATCAACAACAGGTGATCAATGGTTGCTGAGGCAGGGAGAATAATATTTCTCAAGAACTAGCTCCCTGATAGGTTATCTAATCCCAAGTGGTCAGCCCTAAACACATGGAATATGAGCACCACTAAATGGACTCAGTACATTTTCTACATACATACACACACACACATGTGTGTATATGTGTATTACATATGTGTAACAATAATAAAGAAGAGGACAAGAAATTGAGAGAGTGGAGGGTGCATGGGAAGTGTTAGAAGGAAGAATGGTAGAGGTAGAAATGATTCAAATACAATATTCATGTATGAAATTCTCAAAATTAAAAATAATCATGAAAAGATAATAAAGGTACATATAATGTAAAAATCAAAGGTCTCATTACAGTTTGGTATGCTGTGTTAAGACCATCCCACTCCTCAACAGTAATCATAACTAACTACAGATGACCTTTGAAATGATATTGTGGGTATTTGTAGCACAAGCCTGTACGTCTAGAAAGGCAAACAATTTTGTTGTTGTCTTTTTGAGGCAGGTTCTCTCTCTAGCCCCAACTGGCCTGGAACTTGGTAGATAACTATATAGACCCAGCCGTCCTCCATCTCATAGGAATCCACCTGCCTCTTTCTTCTGAGGGCTGGGATTAAAGGTGTGCACTACCACATCCAGCTCAACAAAGGCTTTTTAAAGTCATAAACTGGCTCATATTGTACACAGTACTAAATATTTCTTTCAAGATGTGGCAGAGCAATACATATTCACTAAAGTATGTCAACGCACATATATCTACCAAGCCTTTTAATTATAGCCTAATACTCAGTCATATGTATGTATCTTAGCTCATTTAAGAATCCTTTAACTTGTGGACCTTTTGCCCATTTACCACTATGAAGGACACTACAGTGAACACCCTTCTCATTCTTCTTGGTGGAAATAGATGAGTCTTTCTGTAGAAAATGTTCCTTGAATTAGAATTACTGGGCTAAAATATGTGGATTTAAATTTCTTACAACTTCTTCAAATTTGTTCTTCCAAAAAAGTTCAAGAAAGTGAAATCTCATTGTTATTTAAATGATGTCAGCCAGTGATTCCCCATGAAGTCCAGCTGTGTGAACTGCTGATCGCTCGCCTTTCCGTTTCCCCTGCTTCTAAATTTTCCTCTGCCCTCTTTTTCAGATGCTCACTACCTCACCTGCAGAATCCAGGAATGCGCCGAGACAACTCGAAGTGGCCCCTTTGCCCGGTCCATTGACATCAGCTCCCTGGTTGTTCAGGATGAATACATCTTCATTCAGGTGAGTGTCCAATGCACAGTTAATGACAAGAGAAGGGTGAAGTAAGACCAGCTGCTTGCTAGGAAATGAGGATGGCTTTCCTGGGGCATGAGCATGTGGAACAAGGACACTGTTCTTTCACTTTGGGGCTTCAACCCCCTGGGGATACCCCAGACTTCTTATTGGAGAAGGCATTATGGGTCAGTGTCCTGTCCTAGAGATTTTAGTCACCCGTGGAATCCTTCAGTTGGATTACCATTTCAGGATAACAGAGCTGTCTTAAAGTGATTAGACTGTGGTTTGAGATTATTTAAAGTCAAATGTCTAATGGGCTTTGACTTTAAGTAATTTATCAAAGCCATGTTCTATTTCTGTCCAAAGTGACTTGTCTAACTTGGGAGTGAAATCTCCCAATAAATTAGGCATAGTCAAGATTTTCTTTCTGGAAAATGCTAAAATTCAATAAATCATTCCTTTTCTTTCCCATGCTGATTATTTTTCAAATGTATATGTCTCACATTCTTTACTGTCAGAACTGGACTGATGGAGGAAACCACATTTTTAGGCAGACAAAGGAAGCTTTCTTTTAGGTTTTGAGTTGTGCAATGTCTACATTGTCCTAGAAAGAGATAAAATAAAAAAGAACAAAAATGTGATAAACTGAAAGACAGTATCAGGGGGAGAAAGAGAGTATGGTGTCAGACTTGTTACCCAGATTTCTACCCTTGACCTCCTGCCTTTGCCACTCTACATTACTACATGAGGCAGCCCTGTGGTTTTGAGTACTATCTCCATGTTCTGATGTCTTCAGATCAGTGAGCTGTGCCCTCCAAAATGTCACCAATTCCATGGTTAACAGGTGTCTCTTCAACCCAGTGTGGATGTTCTCCATGGGAAAAACAAGACAGGTTATCCCTGACACCCCCTGATGACATGCCCAGTACCAGCCCACTCAGGGTAGAAATGCAGATGTGAGTCAGCATTGCTAATTTGAAGGAATCCCCACCCTCTGCTAATGGCACTCTTGGTTTTACCCTGTGTTTTTTTCATCTAGCATCCATTGTCATGGTCCCCATGAAAGGCAATTTTTCTTTCTCTCTTTGCTGAAGGTTTTTAAATGTAGGAGCACAGGAATGATTTATGAATTTGCCAACCTGATTGCCCTTTTCTTAATGCTAATACTGTATATAATGATGAACATAGCAGAATTGTTTAAGGGAAACATGACTTAAAATTTAATATGTTCAGATTTCCCCCCCGTGTTGCATAAAGTTCTCTTGAACTCCTCAGGCAGAAATGCGGAGTTTAAAACTTTTTTCCTGAAACATTTCTTTGTTGTATTATACCATAAGAAGAGGTTTTTTATTTAATCAGCTTCAATTTTTACTTTTCTTAAAAGAGATGAGGCTTTATTTTTCAGTAAGGTTTTATTTGTTGTTCAGTAACTGTGAGATCCCTCTTTGAGGTGCTAGGGCTATCACGAGGAATACACAAACTTCTTGCCTCAGTGAAACTGAGTCTAGTGGGAGGCTTACATATGATGTATATTCATCCACACATAGACACAACATGCTGCGGGGTGTGATAGGAAGCAAGAATATACACTTTAGAATGCAGAACTTTTTCAGATTGTGGCTTGCTACCTTTCGCTGTGTGACCTTGAGCTGAGCTTCATTTGACTTGTCTATAAAAAGAAGTTAATTGTGGCACCTGCTGCATGGGTTGCTGGGAAGATTGAATTTGATAGTGACATTCTTATAGTGCTATAACAATGCCCAAATCATGGCGTTCTATGAACATGTATTATGTTTTTATCTATTCTGTACTATTGGCAATTTGATTCTATAAATGTCACATGACGGCAGATCCTATGGATAAAAATACACCAGGAACTAGATGCTGGAGTATAAGGATATTGCTATTTTGTGTAGGTCTTGATGATTTAACTAGGGACAGAGTGGGAGGGAATACATAGAGAAAGGCATGTGTTGGCTTAGCCCCCTTGAATGCTACATGGAGCTGTGAGTTGGAAGTCAGAGATTCCAGAAGAAGATCAGTGAGAATATTATGGCTGAATACATAAGTTGGAAGGTTGTATTTTGCGTATTGATGATATTTTGAAATCATAAAATTCAAGGGGTAATATCAAGAAAGAGAAAAAAAAAATCCAACCACTGGTTTCTAGGGCACTCCTGTCTTTAGAGTCAGGGAGATAAAAAGAAACTAGCAAGAAGACTAGGACTCAGCTGAATGATGATGTCAGAAAGCTGGTAGATTACTCCATCACTTGATTGACTTTACCCCAAATAATGCAAATGACCATAAACTTGAAAAAATATTGAATTTCTTTAATGGTCAAATAAACACAGGTTAAATCCTATGACTGAGAGTTACCAATTCCCCAAAGTTGAAAATACATAAAAGAGTGCCAGTGGGGGCCAGATGAGGTGGTGCACTCTTTCAGTCCCAGCACTTGAGAGGTAGAAGAAGGTGCTTCTCTATGACATTCGAGGCCAGCCTTGTCTACATAGAGAATTCTAGGCCAGCCAGCTCCTAATGAGAAAGCCTGTCTCAGAAAAAAAAAAATGTTGGTAGTTTACAAGTAAGAACCTGCACATGGAACACCCCACATAGCAGTTGATTTTCAGTCAGTATTTAATCAGCCCTTTCCTTGTCAGAGGTGAGTTTGGCCATTTGCCACATGAGCTTTACTTCTGATGGTGCACGCTCAGGTAGAAAATACTCACTTGTGCTCTTTTTTCCTTTCTCATCTATTTCTTTCATAATGCTGCGTATTTTTACTTTAATTGCTTAGTTTTAGGAATATAACTATATATAGCATATCAAATCCTCTATTTTGGAACAATATCTATTGATTTCTTCTTGTGAATGATCATAAACCTAGAATGTTCCTTGCATTTCTGTCTCTTCCCTTCTCTTTAATTTTTTACCACCCAATTTTGATTGATTATAGTATTTCCCAGTGTTTTTCTTACTCTTGACATATAAATTTGGCAGTCTTAATATTTTATAAAGTACAGGGAATAAAGGAGGGAACATAGTGTATGTTGTGACTTAACTGCCCTATTCCCTTTTCCAACCCACTGTTGCAAACTGAGTCATTTAACACATGCACATTCTGCCCTGTTCCACCGCCCCTGTCTTGATTTTGATCTTTGTTTTATAGGTGTGTCTACTCACTTGTCTCCCTCAATGTTTTGCTACAGTTTCCCAATTTAGCTCTCAGTTGTTTGAAGTTAGTCCTTTTAGTAATGTCTTCAATTCTTGAATGTTAGAAACAGAGCTGACCTAGCCTTGCATACGTTAATACCATTTTCCAAGGGTATAAAGTGTGCTGTTTTTTTTCCCACAAGAACTGTGCTCTGTGAACTACCTGATGTTGCTGTGTCACAACAGTTTGAGGTTTTCTTTTTCTTTTAGATGTGTTCTTTTATTTTGTTTCCTTCTTGTTTGGGGAGAGGAGGTTGATATTTGGTTTTCGTTTTACTTAACTTTGATAGGCCCCAGTCATTTAAAAAAATATTTGCACAGCAGTTACATGTTAATTTATGCCTTGTGGTTGTTACATGTATTAATCCTTCCCCTGGAAATATGTCTCTTTCATTCAGGAGATTCAATCTCTCATTATTATTATCTCAAAAACCCTTCTTGAGAGACATATTTGACTTTTGTTTCATTGTTTTGGCTCTCTTCCTCCAGGACAGAGAATGTACATAAAAAGAGAAGAGAGAATAAAGACATCACTTGGTCCTGCCCCCAATCTGAGCAATATGAAGTCAAACAGTTTTATGCTAGCCTTTGATGAATGTTTAGTAGTTTTCAGGCTCTTTCTGCCTTTGGTGTTTGTTTGTTTTCTGGTTTAACGTCTTTCTGAGCTTGGGAGGTTGTATTTTATCTCTGTTTCTTCTCAAACCTTCCTGATCTCTTGTGTTTATATTTAACACTCTTCTCTTATTGAAGTGATAGAATCATACAGCTTATTATTTGTGTGTGCATGTGTGTGTCCCAGGTCACATGTTTATGCAAGTACCTAAGTGTACATATGCATCTAAAAGCTAGAGGACAAGATTAGGTATTGTTCCTTAGGTTCCATCTGCCTTGATTTGTGAGACAAGGTCTCTGACTGGCCTGATGCCCCCAGTAGACTAGGTTACTTGGTCACTCTACCTCAGCAACCCATATGTCTCTTCCTCCCGTGTTGGTATTACAAACCTGAATCATCACGTCCTGCTTTTTTCTTTACATGCATCCTTAGGATCAAACTGAATTCCTCCTGCTTGCAAGGCAAGCGCTTTACTGACTGACCCAGCTCTACACAAGTGATTTTAAATCATAGAAACACAGCTACAGTTTCTCTTTGCTCCATGGAATGGTCATGATTTTTTCTGTGCCTGCTATTTGTTTTTTCTGTCTATTTCTTTTAACAGTTTCATTATCCTCTTACTGTATCATTTTATCTTTACATTCTTAATGACTGCTTATTTTAATGATCCGAGTTCTTCATATTACAAGCTGCTCAGGAACATTTGGGAAGTTTCTTTTGGTGAAAGATTAGGGCTCTGTTTCTGTTTATCAAGAAACTTACTTGGTTCTCAGTTCTATATGACTCAACATTATTTTCTTTAAGTGAGTTTCTCTCATAAGGCATTACCTTCTGGAACACGATATATGTGGCTTCCTTCCCACATATATTGTGTTTCATGGTTAAATTTTCATTAAGTCTGGAGTTTGCATTACTCTTTCTTGTTTTGCTTGTTACTACAAGATGATTTATGAGAGGAATAAAGGGAAGCATTATCATTACTTGGCTATTTAAAACCATTTATAAATCCTTATCATATATTTTCTGAAAGGTTGCTATAACTTGCTAACTGATTTCCTTGCACTTTGATCAGCACACTGAACCCCCAGAGCATTCAGAAACTCCTTCCAAAGTCCTTTATTTAAAATAAAAATCAATGTTCCTCCCCTCAGTGGCTGTTCATCACCTGCAAGGTGAA